GGCCGAACACGGATCAGTTACTGTAGGTTCGTATGTAATTTCATATTCTGGCTCTTCTTCGTTTAATAGACAAGTTGTTGAGCCTTGAAATAAATTATTTATCCCTGTAATAACAAAACATCCGAAATCCGGCCTTACCCGTCCCTTTAAAAATGAATTATTGGCTGTTAGTAACCGACCGAAACTCCACCAAAAGTGTCAACAGGTGTCAATTTCAGTCCCCTACTAGGACGGACCCCTGATAGCGCTCCCCCCCCGCCCCTCACCCCATGTCATTCTGGCCGAGTGGTCTAAGGCGCTGCGTTCAGGTCGCAGTCCTCTTCGGAGGGCGCAGGTTCGAATCCTGCGGATGACAGAACTTTTGCTTTTTGCTTGAAAGGTTCATAGAAACTTGGATTTAGTTTTTGGTAGCTGGTAGGATGTTCTAAAAAAGATTTTTAATCCAACCTTGACTAATTCCAGTGCAATCCAATTCCAAGCACTCCTTTAGACAAGTGATACTGGGCACAGGGGCATCCTTTTTACGGGTGACGGTTACAGTAGCGGGGCTTAGTAATAGGCAGCTAGAAATTGATAGAATCGCTAGGAACATGAATTTTCAATGGAGTTTCTGTCTTTTTGGCCGGAAATCCTATTCGATTTTCATCCACCGGAAGCATTTGTTGCCTGACAACATGACTTTCAGACTATTTGAAAAGTAGCTGTTTCGCTTTTTCTCGTTCGGCTTAAAAGGTCCCGATTTTGAGCGTTTTTTTGCGTATATGGCCAAAATCCAAAAAATCCACCCTATTCTGTATTTGGTATTTTTCTAAAATGATTTTAGCTATGCACATACTTTGTTTTATCGCGTTTGAGGTTAAAATAATTTTTTCAAACCTGTAAAATCGTGAAAATAAACTTTATCGCGGCAACAAAATTGGCGGATAATTGCTAAAATTCAAAGGAAATATACGGGGATACATTTTGAGGCAAAGCAAGAGCGTCAAAATTGAGGTTGAGCTCATAAAAGATGACAAAATGGCTGAATACGTGGAATTTCTTTGCAGCTCGGTGCCGATAAACATGAAATATTAGGTTGGACCATAAGTTCGTGCAATTTTTTGACCTTAAAAATTTCATAGTAGAATCCATTTATTTATTCAAAGTATTTTCCATCATTGAGGATTACTTGGCGCCATCGCTCAGGCAGAGCGCGAATCCCGGCCTCCCAGAATTTTTTTGGCTGGCGCGTGAAGAAGGAATTCAGCCAATTTTCGAGATCTTTTTGATCGGTAAATATTTCGTCGGTCAATTCCGCGGCTAGCTTTCTGAATAAGTGGTAGTCACTCGGAGCAAGGTCCGGGCTATACGGTGGGTGGGGCAAAACTTCCCAGCTTAGCTCTTTGATTTTTTGCTGAGTGAGTTTCGCAACATGTGGTCGAGCGTTGTCATGCAGCAAAAGGACTTTTCCCTTGTTTGGGCGTTTTTTGCTGATTTCGATGGCGACTTTTCCGAGTTGTTCAGAGTAGAGCGGCGCATTGACAGTAGCTCCGTGCTCAAGTAATTCCCAATAGAGTGGTCCTTCTAGATCCCACCAAATACACAACATTATCTTTCGAGGATTAAGTTCGGGCTTCGGCTCTTGTTTGGCCGTTTCTCCTTTTTGCACCCACTGTTTATGGCGATGATAGTTTACATATAGTACCCACTTTTCATCTCCTGTAACAATATGGGGTAGGAATGAGCGGCGCTCTTGACGCGACAGAAGAGCGAACGCGATAGATAGACGTTGCCACATCTGGGGGTCGGTCAGCAAGTGTGGCACCCATTGCCCGAATTTATTCACATAGCCAAGGGAATGAAGATGTCTGACGATTGTGCTGTGACCGGACCCAAGTGCTTCTCCTAATTCACGGGTCGTCATTTTATTGTCTTTCTGCAATAAAGCTCTGAGGGCGTTTTCGTCGAACTCGTCGGGCCGTCCAGATCTCGGTCCTTCTTCGACGGAATAGTCCCCAGTTTTGAACCGCTTGTACCATTTGTATACCATGGATAGAGAAAGCGTGTCCGGGCCGTATATCTTATTGATTTCCTCATGGGCCATGGGGGCGTTTACATTTTTTATGAAGTAGAAAAGACAGACGTGTCTGAGATGTCCGCTCGGTAGTTCGTCGGGTGCTCCGAAAGAAAATGCCAATAAAAAAAGAATATAGGTAGGATTCATTTGATGTTTTCAGGGTTGGTAGTGAGTCCCTCTGACAAACCGGGGATGTTTATACCAGGGGCCTGGCTCGCGTGATAACGCGGGAAAACAAACCGAAAGATAAATTGCACGGACTTATGGTCCAACCTAATACATTCGCAGCTCGGATAACTAAAAATAGAATTGATGCCATTTTTCAATCTTAAAGGGGCTCCGAAATCTGGTCCACGGCCCCCAGCTGTGATTCCTGGCAAATAGCCAGATGCGGCCGCAACGCGCCCGCGTCGCATGAACACTTGCCCCTGTTTGGACGCGAAAACGCTTGAATTTCAAAATTCTGATGCTGTTTTTGGAAGCATCAACGATTTTTGATTTTTTTTTTGATTTTCTCCATACTAAATTTGAGCACGCTATAACTTGTGAACCAGACCTTCGAAAATTCCAAAATTTCGGATGTACGTAGTGGCAGTTCTTATGTATACACACTGTAAAAACTGAAACAGCTCGACCACCAGCATTTCACAAAAATGCAAACGAAGTTTTGCCGGAACGCACAGTTTTCGGGTGTCATTTGTATTGATACGTCGCCAAAAATCGAAAAAATCAAGTTGTGTTAAATCTTCATACCCAGCATATTGAAGCATTCTGGCATGGTAACGCACGGTGAAATATCTTTCCTTCTCGAGATAATTGGGGACAAACTTCGGAACTTTTTTTTTGATACACCCTGTAATCGCCGCGCACTCAAAAAGTCGTTTTCGCCCCGAGGACTTTTCGGTTAAGTTAAATATTTTACATTTTTTTCGCAGTTAAATCCCTTTTCTGGCACTTCTCGGCAGTGACCCTTTCGTGTTTTGACCCGTAGATTCAATCCCAGGACGCGCTAATTTTGACTTCCGAGCCCCTTTTTAAAGGCCGTTTGCGGGAGGACCGAAATAGGCCTGGCACAGTTTTTTTTCGACCTTGTTTTTTTGACGCCATCGGATAGAGCATGATCGAATTAGTGGGGCCATATAGTTTTGAAAGTTTAAAAAGTTGAGTTTTGGGGTTTAAAGGGCCGCTAAAGTTGCCGACATGGAAAACCTATCTCGAAAATTTCCGGACCAAATTTGCTGAAAATTTGTCACAATACCTAATTTTGGATGGAGATAATTTCTCTAATACATTTCGAAACCTGAAAATGGCTGGAACATAGGAATCTCGCGTACTAAACACAGTTTTTTAAGATTTTCTACTTAATGGGAAAACGGCGGCATCCTGAAATTAGCATAGAAATATGCGCCAATTTTTTCTACGTCGAATGATGTGTCTTTTAGGATGCCGCCGTTTTCCCATCATCTGTAAAAACGGCATTTTCTTGATGAAAAAAAGAAAAATATCCAGATTTGCAAACGGGGATTTACCCGCTTGCTTCTAGAAGCGCAGCCAAGTTAATGGCAAAACAGAGCAAAAAGAAATTCGGTTTCTAAAAGGGGGCTGGGATTGAACTCGGGTCGTTCGCCTGGGAGGTGGCGGCGCCCTCTAGCCTCTGTCCCCAGAGCCCCCAGCCGGACCATCGCGGGTTCGATTCCCCTCCGTACTCAACTTCGCGTAGATGAGGAATTTAAATTTGCTCTTTTTTGATAATGGGTGGCATTGATCTCTAGATGCTTTCCGCAATCCTTTATATTTCTCATTCGCAGCCCCCGATCTTCTAAGGCCACTTTTGTTGATTCCAGAGATCACGACTTTTATAGATGATGGGAAAACGGCGGCATCCTAAACGGCACATCATTCGACGTAGAAAAATTTGGCGCATCTTTCTATGAGATTTTCAGGATGCCGCCAATTTCCCATTAAATAGAAAATCTTAAAAAACTGTTTTTAGTACGCGAGATTCCTATGTTCCAGCCATTTTCAGGTTTCGAAATGTATTAGAGAAATGATCTCGATCCAAAATTAGATATTGTCACAATTTTTCTGCAAATTTGGACCAGTAATTTTCGAGATAGGTTTTTGATGTCGGCAACTTTGACGGCCATTTAAACCCCAAAAATCAACTTTTTAAACTTTCAAAACTATGCCACCCTACTAATTCGGCCACGCTCTTTCAGATGGCATCATAAAAATAGGGTCCAAAAAAACTGTGCCAAGCCATAATGGGAACAGTTCGGGTGGCTGGCGGACGGCCATTTAAGCCTTTCTCCGGCTCACCAGATAAGCGGGGTACAGCAGCGTGAAAGCAAATAATCGTCTCCTCAATCCAATAATCGATAAAGTAAGCGATGTGACGGCCAATCCAACCCAAATTATCTCAATCCCAATCAATCCATAGAACATCCAATTTCCCGTCTCGAAATCGTCAAGAATCGTTGATCTGGAAGTCAAAAAAGCAATTTATAAAGGATCCGATTTTTCACAAACGACTATTTTTTTAGTTAATACAAAGTATAGAAAGAACAAGGTGAACCTTTTTCGAAATTTACGATTTTTCTCTTATAGAACATTATATTTTTTGCCAGGGAAAATAATTAAGTCGATTTTTGAGTTTTTTTTAATAACCAAATCAATGTGACTTACTCTCTCAAATATCCACAGTAATTCAACACCGACGTGACAATTTCGATAAATTGCCCGCAAAGGTGGGCGCCGGCTAGAATTACATAAATTTTCATAAAATGTCGATCAAGAAGTTGGTACATCTATTTCTGAAATAACAAAATTCAAATCAAATGCACCATAAAATCAATAATTCGTCGATTGAAAATCGTAAAATTAAATTTACAACAGCAAATCTTTTATTTCCATGAAATATCGTTATAACGTCTTAGTGGATTTAATGGTAGACAGTCGGGCGATAGCTCAAATTTTGTGCAAAGATAGCCCGATACCGTAGCCAGGATACGGTAAGGGAGGCGATGTTTGTGACAGCGATCAGGGTCGAAAGGCAAAACGCCCAAAGGGAGCCACGGATCAGCTCGTTGCCCAGCAGGAAAAATGACAGTCGAAGTTCGGTTAACTGAAACAATTAATTGTATTTTTCAGAATTTTTCAGGGCAGCAGCGATTATTTCCGAAAAGTAAATTTTTAAGGATTTCATTGCGTAATTGATTTTGGGAAAAATTGGAGGTAAGCAGCGCTTTTGGCAGATTTTTCGAGAGTCCCAAAGATTTTAAAAGCGATTGATAAATTCTAAACTCACCAAGCTTAATGGATATACGATGGCGAGGCTGAATATCCTTCTCCTTATCCCGACAATTGTGAAAGCGAGTGCTGTGATATTGAGAGCTACCATTAAGGCTTGAACACTCTGCGATCCATAGAAAAGAGAACGGTCCACAGCAAATTCACTCAATGCTGACGGCCTGCAAAGCGCAGCTTTTTCTTAAACGTAGAAACGCTTAATAGTCCCTAAAAATCTGTAAATTGCTATTAACATTTAAAGGCCAAAATTGGAATTGATTGTCACCGAAGCCAATTTAAGAGTTGCTCCAAAAATTGCCATAAAAATAATCAATATTCACCTACTGATGAATAAATCCCTCCCATTGCAATATTGTAAAAATAATTTCTGCGATCCCCGCAAGAGAATGGCCAAGCGACAGGGTCAGAAAGATTGGCCAAAAATATCGATCGGCAACCGATGAAGCCCAGCTTTTCATCGCCTAAAATTCTTCTTAACTTTACCAAGTTAGAATATGATCGAAATCACATTGCTTTCCAAATAATTTCAGTACAAACAACTTTAGCAAAGATTTTATCGACCCAAGAACAACCAATTAGAAAGGCATTTTTAGATCAAAAATATAATGAGATCATTTTCTATCAATAGCCTGTTGCGTGTTATATTCTGGACATTGAAAAATGCTGCGGAATATTTGAATTGCGAGGAAAAGCTTGTAAATAACATTTTCGATAACAAAAGACACAAATCGTTGCGACAATCAATAAAAGACAAGATAGAAGGGTGGCCAGATCATTCTCGGAGACGACACTATCTTGTAGTTCATCGATGAAGGCCCGGATGTCGAGGATCTGAAATCAAAACTTAAGAATTTGACGATCTACTTCTTCTTAAAGCATTTCTGCTCGCTGCCTGTTTTTTTCAAACGAAGGCTTTCCTAAAAGATCTTTGCTAGTTTGCCTCTTCTCTGAACTCCGAAATATTTCCTCAAGATATCTGCTAGCTTGCCCTCACCCGTAAAATTTTATCGCCAGATTTTGGACTTGAATAACTTCTGCTAGCTTGCTTCCAAAAATTTGTATAAGAATTTCTGCTGGCCCGCCTCTAGGTTTTCTAGCTTCCTAAAGAATCTCTGCTAGCCTGTCCACCGTTTTTCAGTTTTTAAAAAAATCTCTGCTAGACTGCCTAATGCTCGGCGATTTTTTTCCTGGCAGTTCCCTGTAAATTAACGTACTATTAATGCGGGATGCGCGATAGCCATAGACCGTATTCCCCTCCTCCTCCCAATAATCGATAATACAAGTGCTGTTATTTCGAGCGATATCCATGCAATTCCATATAAACTGACAGCCACCAATACTGGCACTGTGATCCGTTTTTGCGGAAGCCCGTTTACGCCCATCGATCCACTAAAAAAAGCTAAAATAAGCGTTTTAGGACTTGAAATAGATTTCGTAAACGGATATAATGGCATCAAAAACTGACTGCCAGAGAATCGATTACTACATGGGAATCGCACCAAAAATCAGGTTTTGTCTGACAAAAGTATTTTATTCAGATTTCCGGTGGGGTCGATTCGCTTACGACCTTCAATTGCTATAAAGTAAGATTTTTGGATTTTTTTTAGCTTTAAACGCTAAAATGGCAGTCAGCAAAGATTACGTCATGAAATTAACCAAAAATCTCACAAATTACCCCTTATAAATAGCATTATGATATTCGTAGACGAGCAGAAAACAGCACAGTGTCACGATAGAGAAATGTATGGACGCAGTGAGGTAGTAGATTCGCTAAGAATGGAAATTTTTAACGTCAAATTTGTGTCCCGTACCTGCCACCATATTGACACCATGTTATCAATGTCAGCTCAGCATTAGCATTGATTTTTGACCAATAAACCCGCTGAAAAGATGCAGAAATGTGTAAAGGATGACGATTCGGGAAAGTTGCAAATCCAATTTTCAATTATACAACGCCATAAACGGGCAAAATTCCAGGCAACACAAGCAAAAAGGAATAGCAATTTATGCACATTTTGTAAATTCCGAGATCACAAATGAGGAATGCACAGAAATTAGAATTCGGGGCGGAAATCATAGGCCCAATCAGAAATCGATTGAATCGGAAGACGTGCGGAAATTTAATCCGATAAAATGGCCACCCAGGCGTCTGGCCAAGCCTTATTAGTCTAATCGATTACGTCATGGAAAACCGACAGTGAGGACAAGCCAGCAGCACAGCGGCCCGGCTCCTAATAAAACGTCCGGTAGCTTTGGAAAGTAGGGAAGACCGCAACACGTGCGACAGACGCGTCGCGCAATTGCGAAAGCAGGCCTGCCCAGCTAAAAACCGGTTGCTATTTCGCGCACCAGCACGCAACGCGCGAAAAACACGCACAGTACGCCTTTTCCCTTGATGGACCGTGGCAGAAAACTTTTAGGAAACACGGTGGTTACGACATAAAAAAACAATCAGATGCGGATATCTAGTAGTGCTGGGTGTCCCAATAACAACGTCCCCTCTAACTCGATGGAGAAGTATCGTATCGGAATGCTAGTTACACCATTCGAAAGCCCCTGAAACGGCGAGTTTGCAACAATCTTCAAAACCAGGATTTTACCTGTAACAATCTTCAACCCAACATTTTACAAGCCATTTTGCAAAATTTGGCTGTTTTTCGGGGTTGCATACGAGCTAATTTACCGCAAATTCTCCATACAAAATGACCTGAAGTGGCCGTTAATTACATGCAGAGGACGTTCCTTAATCTTTTTAAATTGGTTATAAAACGTCCGGTTTAAATAACAACTATCGTTCCGATCCGATCGAGTTAGAGGGACGGTTTTTATTGGGACACCCTATGGAGTCGCAATTTCCCGCCATTCTCGGTTAGATACAATAAATCGGTTACGTCATGAAATGAGGCGATATTGCAGAGATCGTTAGTGGAAATACCTAACAGTTCGCTGCTAGCTAGCCCGCGGTTTAAAAAGAGCTTCTCCTCCTCCCGCGCCTCCCCCTGCTACCTCGAATATCCCCCATTCTAAACAATACCCATGGTGGTGGGGATAGTCGTCGAAAAGTATGTTCATGAATTTTCCAAAATAATACAAGTATAACTCCAGTTAATATCAACATATACATTCCTAGCCGAATCGCCGCCGCATCTGCACTAATGACACCCTGTTGCACTAGCTCCATGTCACTAATGTCACTAACGGATGTTGATACCCTGCAAAAATCATTCAGAACTAATTTTCAAGGTTTCAAAGTGTTCCTAATTCTGTTTTTTAAACGGATACGATAGCAGGTTTTTTTGGTTTTTGCGATTTTTTTGGATTTTCAGTTAAATTGTACAAAAGTGCTAATGCAAAAAAATGGGCACAGTGTGCGGCAAGACAGGCGGAGCAGAGAAGAATTATGAAAATTTTAGAACTAATACCGGTCTTATGCTAATTCAACTGAGCCTTCCTCATCCCTTTAAGATGTCCAAGAAGCAAGATTTCTTGGCCTCCGATCCGGTGTATTGATTGAGTCATTGCCTCCGGGCGGGCAGATGTCTTTCGAGCGATTTGGTTGCGCGAAAGCATGTCGTAATGACGTTTGCATGGCATAAATTTCCTGACCACACTCCATTCATGCGCTTCATCGATTTGAGTGCATGGCTTTTTATGGCTTTTATTATTTAAGCATTTATAGTTTCTCATTTTCTCCTTTTCCAGGCGCGCTTCTTCACGCCAATTTCCTAAATATTTTCAAAAATTTCAGGCTATGAGGTTCCTAGCTTACCCTGTCGTCATACAAGAACATATCCTTCGAAAGCTGGATGTCATCGACTTCCTCAAAGCAGCTTCAACATGCAACGAAATGCTGGAGCTGGCCAAAGATTGCGGCGGCAAGAAATGGGGAATCGGGATTATGGAAGATGATCGAGGAAACGGATACTACACCTTTCATGGGCTAGGGAACAAAATGCCCAAGCTAAACAAAAATAAATACACGAAAAATATGGATATTCTGAAGGTGATCGCCCATAACGCTACCGTTTCGGAGATGCTGCTTGCAACCCCATTTCCGGAAGATATCGATGTCCGCAGCCAACGGTTGACACTATGGTACGATGCCGACGACCCGCTTTCAGTTTTAAAGCGCCATAAGCCGATAGAACGGTACGAGTACATCTCCACGAACATATTCTCTTCACCGAGCCCCCAAATCCTAACATGGCTCAATGAAAACGCGAACAGTTGCGACCTATGGATTGAGGGCCCGCAATCGGCTTATATCCCCTTGAAGCAGCCGAAGCTGTGGTTCTTTACAGACACCCACTTTGACGAAGCAGCTGAAGAATTCACGCAAACCATGATAAACGAGTGGCTCCGAGGGGAGAGGCGAATTCAGATGATTGACACCATCTACGATCGGGATCGCGGCGCCCCGCACCCACCATTGGACCGAGGGTTTTATGCGCGGTTCCCGAAACTTGAAATCCCGAAGGAACGTGAATCCGAGACCTGGTACCGCATCAAGCGACCTGACGGCGAGCTGCTCATTGTGAAATTCACCACGTTCGGCCCGCAAACGGCGACGCTCTGCACCCCACGCGAGGCGTCCCGAAAGTCTGAGGACAGCCGGTTCGAGGCGTTTGCGTTTGGGCGAGAGTAGAGAGAATGGCGAATAAATTCTTTTGTTGCAAAAATTCTGCTAGAAACACGCATCATCAAAAAAAATCGGACACGTGACGTGATCGCGCTTCGTCGCATCTGATCTCACCAATGGAGCCACCGAAAATGGCTAAAATAACGGATTTAGGCCTTGAATTTTCTGGCGTCATCGGATAGAACCGATGGCGACATATTTCTCGCCAAATTATGGAATTTTTAATTTGTTGATAGACAAAACGGAATACTGACCGCCCAGAGAATCGATTACGATATGGAATTTCCACCAAAGAGTGTGAAATTTCCTGCCGTAATTGGATAGATTACATTACGGCATAAAAAGCGGAAAAGTAGGATTTTTCAAATTGTTTCAGGGTTAAGCGCTAAAATGCACGTCAGTTAATCGATTACGCCATAAAATTCATTGTAGTGATTTGAAAAGGACCTTTTATAAATAGTAAAATATTCGTAGACGAGCAAAAAGCAGCACAACACCACGATAAAAAGTTAATGGCAGCTGTGATGTAGCAGAGTCGCTAAAAAGAACTTTTTGCATCACAAAAGTTGTTTTTCCTACCAGCCACCATGTGTAGAACATCTTCTGTGGGTCACCCGATCATTAACCAGAGCAAAAAGACCGCTTCGCGGCCCTCTTTCACTGGACCCCGTCCAGCAACCATGAACTTGAATATCTTCTTTTTTGCCTGCTGCCAAGACCCTGAGTCATGACCATTCCTTGGACTGCGGCGCCAGATCCTGCGTTGTGCTAGAAACTTTGAGCCTGCGGCGCTAGTTACTGGTTTTTCTCCAGGATTTGGCCTGCGGCGCGAGAGCCTTAGCCAAGGCCTTTGTCGTTGGCCTGCGGCGCTAGAGCCAGGGCCAGGCTTAAACTTCGCCCATCGAGAGCCTAGAAATATATTTTGTTGCTAAACTACCAAAAAGCAACACCAAGCCACTATACCAAAGGGGGCATGGGGACGGATGGCGGAAAGGCCTCTTCTGCCCTGGGGGTTGGGGTCATGCCGGGAGGAGTACTTCTGGTAACTTTACAAAATTAGCTCTTTTAGTCTGAATGCGCCAAAAATTTGTAAAAATAATCGATGCGCTTGATCCCCACCATCGAATACATAAGTGGTGCAAATTATAGCCCAAAATTCCATCAGGGCTTCGGGTTATGCCCCGAACACCATCTAGCCGATTTTCACTATTTTGCTCGTAAAATCTTTCAATGAAGGAAGTGTGCCAAACAAAAAAAAATGCGTTTCTGATAAATGTGTTTCTCCACCTCCATGCCAAAAATCAACGCAAAATTCGGCCTGCCGGCCGAGAAATCCTCATTACAGAAAACACACATACTTTTCTCGCTTATAGGATAGGATGACGATTGTTTTACCTTGTAAAACTGAAAAATTACGGGTGCTGCAACTGTCTGCTGAACTATCGAAGGTATTTTCTGCGTTACAACTATTCGAATAACATTAAAAACCGAGCAAATTTTTGTGTTAGCGGTTTTATGCAAAATTTGTACTACATGAACACGAGATCACAAACGATAAATGCTCAGAAATCAAAATTTCTGCGCCGGAAAGCATTGGCTCAAAAAGGGATCGATCCATTAGTAGGTGTTGGGGAAAATTAATCCGATCAGGAGGCTCACCAGGCTTCTCATAAAATTTCGATGGAATCGGTTACGTTACGGATCAGCTGGCAGAGTCCTTTGGCGGAAAACCCAAAATGGTCCCCTGCTAGCTAGGCCAACGCATAGAAAAAAATCGATTACGACAGAAAATTTCACATTAAAGGAGATTTTTATATGATCGCTGCCAGCTAAAAAAAACTTAAATCGTTCCATGAAAAGACAAGCTAATTTGGCGAAAGTTGCTCTCAAACCCGGCCAGCTACCAGAGATCTTTAGTGCAAATTCCTAAATGTTCGCTGCTGGCTATCCCGTGGTTTAAAAAGAGCTTCTCCTCCTCCCACTCCTCCCCCTGCTACCTCGAATATCCCCCATTCTAAACAATGCCCATGGTGGTGGGGGTGGTGGTCGAAAAGTATGCTCGTGAATCTTCCAAAATAATACGAGAATGACTCCCGTTAATATCAGCATATACATCCCTAGCCAGATCGATTCCGCATCGTCATTAATGATGCCTCTCTGGACGATGTCCATGTAGAAACGGATGTTTATACCCTAAAGAATTGAAATTTTAATTGGTTTATAATTTCTACTTTCTCGTTAGCATTTTTGATTGTATTTTTTGTAGTCTTATTAAATCTGCTTATTGTTGTCGAAATCATAGAATCTTTTTTAATTGTTTAAAGTTTAAAATTTTCGTAAATTTTTCGCAGTTTTCTAAAAAAATTTAGTGCTTGAAATTGCTAATTAATTTTTGCATTTTTTGCGTGTAAATTCCAAATTTCCTAAAATTTCTCTGCCAGCTCGCCAACTCACCACATAGCTAGGGAAGGCAATTGATAGAATCGAAATTTTTAGCCGCAATCCCGCTACCGTAATTCCGAACGCCAGCAGTGACAAGAGGAGTGAAATGGAATAATAGATGTTGAGACCGACGAATAGGCCGATGGGCATTTTGACAGTACCATTTAGGGCTCTAAAACCGAGATAAAACCACGTTGACGTTTGCCATACCGTATTTGCTGCAAGAAATAGATGTCCAAATCGATATAGCCATAAATTTCTGTTGCAAAATTCACGAAAGATGCCACGCAAAATAGGATCTAAAAACACAGAGAGAATATTGATTTTTAGCTGCAAAACCTGGAAAAGTCGAATTCGAGAAAAGCGCATATTGACGCCTCTTTGGTCGCCAGAGGGCCTTATCGCAAAAGCGCTGATGGGCTGTGAATTTAGCCACCTTTGCCGGGTGATTTGTGATTGTTGGCTGGATGCCAAGAAAACGAGATCATTTCCGGGCTCAAATAGAGGAGATTCTGGCTGGCAGGCTAGCAGGGATTTTTGCGGCATTCAAACCTCAACTAGATAATTAGTATTGAAATATTTATGCTTAAAATAAAGTAAAATATCACAAAAAAAACAATAATATGCAAATTTAAAGGTGCACCTTAACAGAAAAATATACGGACAATTTTAACAAAATAGCAAAATATTAAACCTTAAATGAGGAGATTTCTTTTTTCTGCGTCTTTTTCGGCTCCGGAAATACTAATAAAGATGCGGGTCGATAGTCGGGAAATATTTCACCAAAAATGTATTTTGCTCTGAAGATGTAGATCAAAAAGGTGAAACCAGTTAAAAGAAACATGGCCAATCCAAGCCAGAAAAAGGAATTCAAATCTTCTTCCAATCCTGTGATCGCCATATCAAACCACGTCAAAAGTTGTATGCCCTGAAAAATTAAGATTCAAGCTGCAAAAATCAATTATCGACCATATAATTTTGTATTTACTTATGGCTGCGATTTCAATAAAATAAAAAACCCTAAAAAATTAAAATGTTGCTGAAAATCACTTGCAACTTTAGTATTAACTGGCAGCCCCAGATTAATTACCTAGTGAAAAATGACCTGAGAAATGACGAAAATGATCTTCAAAATTATAGAAACGCACCAAATAAATAATATAAGCCATGGCTAGCCCTCGAATCCTCCGCCGGAATCCTATCCACGTCAAAACGGCGGCCGTGCAGTACAGAAGAACCCCAGAAATTACCATGCTAAAAATTCATATTTGTTTTGTTTTCAAATTTCTAAGACTTACCAATACATAGCGATTAACAGCGGAAGTGAAACATTTAATTTCGATTTTTGGAAGCCATTTTTCCTGAAATATCGGTTTTTTTTTTGAATGGACGGGCAAGGGTTTGTTATGGATTCTATTGGCTTAGGATTTTTCTGGATTTTGTGAGGCACACCGCGATATGCAACGCGGCACGTGGCGACACGGAACGCGACACGTAGCGCGATACGCAAAGCGATACACTCGACGCATCCGCTACTCTGTCCATTGTGTAATGGATTAAGACTCTCTACGGTGGCGAGGAGCGTAGGCGTTGTGTGTCACGACCCGAAAAGACCGCTAGGTATCCATGGCCAAAAAAGTCATGGTTTTGCCAATCCCTTTAAACAATGCCTTTTACCGTACCCGTGATCAGAAAATCCACGATAATATTCAATGCCCATCACCAGATCGGAGATGACGAGGAGGATGAAATGGACAGGGAGTAGACCATAAGAGGCATACTGTAATTGCGCATTTTTAAAAAGAATTTTAAAGATGTATTTTTATTTTGCAAATTCAGGATTGTAAAAATATACTGACCTTCAAAAACGCACCTCTAGAAATTCGAAAATTCATCGAATAATTCAAGATTGCTTGGGTAAAATTCGTCAATAGGTGCCAAAGGAATAGCTCGCCTAATCAGCTGGCATCAGCTTCAAATCGGCTTATTTACGGAAAGCACAATTTTTCGGCTACAAACCTACAAAAACTGAGTGCCAATCGGAACTTGACTGGGGTAATGACGGAAATCGGAAAAATTATTACCGGAACGCGAGCAAGAGCAAGCCGATTAGAGGTGTTATTCGCCGGGCGAGGGCGGTGGGGATGCACCGAGGAACTGCAATGATTTTTAATCATCGGTGACTCATCAAACTGACATTATTCCAGCTACCGGTTAGCCAGGGCTGGTTATGCTGGAGCCGAATCGGATTCGGTCCGGTTCGGGGGGTCGGTCCAGTCCGTGGTGGACCGAGGGGTTCAGATTTGCTAGGAAAAGCGGAATAGAAACATGCAATTTCAGCAGGCAAAAGAGTGGCGTGCCAAAACAAGACGCAGTGTGGAATTCGCTTAATAAATAATGTTCAAAATGATTCATTCCCATTAAAGCTTTAGCGATCTAAGCGACGGATAGTAGCCCAGCTGTATGTCAAAATGTCACAATCTTGGAAAATAGCGTTGCATACAAATGTTCCATATCTGAATCTTGCCTCTTTGGATCCGGACCGGACCGAATAGACCGGATCTTCCCGGACCGATCCGGACGGACCGGACCCAGGATCCATGGACCGGACCAAATTGACTGTTAGCTATTAGCCCCGCGGGCACGCAGGTGCAGTTTGGAAAGTTCTACATTGGTGTTTGCCGATGACCTTTGCGATTGATCAATTACTTCTCCCGTCAGAACGCACACATTCACGTTACCATTGTTAGCTTATCTGTGTAACCAGGATCTTCATCCCTTTCTCTCTCACGGTCGCTCTCTCTCCCTCTCTCCCTCTCTCTCTCTCTTCCCTTCGCTCTCTGGCTCATGCATGGCCTATTTATACTATTGAATTCCAGGTATGGAGATCTTCAGCGAGTTCCCCTTGGTCATCCAGCACAACATCCTCCGCCACATGGACATGCGCAGCTTCTTCAAGACGGCTATTACAAGCAAGAAGATGATGGAAATAGCCAAAACTTGCCGTGACAAATATTGGCATCTCGGCCTTTACGGGGACCCGCAAGTCGAAAATTGGTCGGTAGGCGAAGCTGGCCCCAAGGAGCTACTAATCGAAAGCCCCACCACTATCGAACTTCTTTTCCATGGTGCTACCGTCAAACATCTAACGGTACACCGAGAGACCACCAAACTATTCAAAGAGTTCGATATCCGCTGCGAGTGTTTGATGTCCTATCGCGACTACGGCGACAATGCCAATGGCTTGCTCGCTGATCTAAGACGTCACAAACCAGCCGGACAAAAATATCACGCGATTACCGTGTTGGCGATACCGCCAAGCATCGAATTGCTCGAATGGCTAAACCGAAACGTCGCAGATCTGTTTGCAATGATTAGTGCGCCCATCCCAGAATACATTCGCTTGAAGGTGCCTAGGATGAGCTTGACAAGCATTCAGGCTTCCGACGACCCGGGCTATGAAAAGTACGCGCAGATCCTGGTGATGGAATGGTTGGCGGGGACACGTGAGATCCGTCATGTCCAGATATACCATTCCAAATACCACAATGGCCTTGCCGGCTTTCGCCAACGCGCGTTCCCCGCGCCCTTCCAGAAACTGGGCGAGGATGAGGAAAACGCATACTATTACGTAAAGCGTGAAGATCGCCGCGTGCTGAACATACACGTATTTTACAAGAATCAGACGATCACCTTCACGCACTCCAACTTTACAAGGAACGAGATTTTACCTGGGAATGGAATGTAAAGAAGGCCGAATTTCGAGAATTTTTTGGCAGTTTTTGTGGAATCCTACTATATATAAAAAAATAGTTCATGTGTGTGTGTGGACACTTTGCATAAATGCCTCGAAAAAACCGGGTTACCAAGATATCGGCAAGGGGGATCGATTTTAGGACCCAGTCGAAAGGTATTTAGGGGTAGTCGAGGGCGTAGATTACCGCAAGCTTATCAGATTTTTACTAAAATGACGTTTTATACCTTATTTTCGCGATTTAAAAACATATGGAAAAATCGTCATTTGCATACAGGGGGTTCGGAGGCTCATTTCAAATTTTGACGCCCTCGGGGTCGGTCGCTTTTGCTAGCTTTGGGGTTGGGAGGCATTGCGCTAATGCAAATTCGCGCGAATTATGCAAAATGTCAACTTTTCATAATCCCCGCGCAAGGGCCAGGGGTGAAAAGCCGCGTAGCGGCTTTTCAACCCTGGTAAACGTTAAGTTCAAGAATTCTCATGGAAATGCGCGCAATATTCGAGATTCTGATCCAATTTCAAGGGAACCTCCTAGGATCTCTTGTGTATCTTGTGCAGAATTTTTTGCTGATTCCGAATATCTTTTCAAAAACTGCAGCATAGTTCTGGTTAAAAAGTTATAATATTTTAGGTTTGTTGTGAGCGTGCATAGAGCGAGCGTTATAAGTAGTGATTTTGCGCGATGTACTAATTTATTGTTATACCAGCCCAGGGGCGTAGCCAGAAAAAAATGTCGGGTGTTATTAGGGGATCCACTGACCAAGGCCAGGATTTTGACCTAGAGCTGGGTCCGGTTGTCCGGCAGCAAAATGGCAGCTCAGCCGATGGGACCCAGGTAAGGCACCTAGATCTAGGTCAAAATCGTGACCTTGGTCCGTTGTTAGGCGATTAATTTTGGCACCATTAATGAGCCCAAAATAGCCAAGAATGATACGGCAATAACTCCATGGAGAAGTGATGGATCGGGATGATCGATATAGCGATGGAAAGCCCAGAGTACGGAGAATACAGAGCGATGTGAAGCACAATTTATCACTCAAGGAGAGGCACTAATAGTTCCCTGCTGGAACCATCTGTTCGTTGCCGATAAAAGACCCAGATTCTCATTCCTCATTCCTGATTACAACCATGCTCTCGATCCTGAAATGCGATATCCCGACTGTACTGCCCGCCGACTACGTGGTGATCGCGACCGATAAATTCCTAAATGCCGGTAGGATTACCCCTCGTTTGGCATTCATTTCTGTTGTAGGGGCAGGACTGGACGAGGTCCTGACAACCGCCGGTGGAAAGAAATTGCTGGCTAGGAAAGAAAAGGGCTTCAAGAAATTTTGTCGTCTGTCGGGTCAAGCAGCCTTGAAGCCGGGAGATTTCCTTCTGACCAAGGGGTCCAAACTAACCAAAAAAGGTGCGTTGCGTAAAGTCTTTTATGCTCGTTTAGGCATCATATATATCCATGTGCCGACATGTCATCCAAGAAGCCATGCGCGTTACATCGCAGACTTAAGGAAATGTTACCGCACGGTGATGCATTCAGTTAGCCCTGTGCACAAATTTAGCATGGTGAGTGGTAACGGCGTAAGCAGCGCACATAACCTGTTCAGGTGATACCAATTTTGGCCGTTGAACATGGCCAGCTCTCTTCCGGGCTGCCTGTGCTGATCGGAATCAAGGAAATTCTGGAATCGATGAATATCAGGAAGAACCGGCAAAAGGTGGGTATCAGGATAGGTCATTGAGTTTCTGCGTAGGTACACATCAAACTTGCGCTGATGAACCCTGAGATGCCGGCGGAACTGGCGCCGTTCCAGAATGTGGAGATGTGTGCTGATGATCAAATCTTTGCTGCCCTACAACTTGTCGAAGCAGCCATCAATGAAACTTCGCAACCCCCGGCTGTTCCTCGGTAAACGTCAAGAAGCTATTTCGCATTCAGTGAGCGTTTTGTAGATGCGCCCGTGGCAAAGTCACGCAGTTTTTACGGGCCGCTCCAGTTTCCAAAGATTTCACCCTGGGTTATGTCGCCGAGGATTCGGGCTCGGTTCTTGACTGCTCCCCGGAAGGCAGCAGTTCCCGGCCTGGCCCAGATTGCTCCAATCCTATGGATATTGATCAGCGAGACGGCTTCGACTTCGCCGGGTTGCCAACAATAGTCCAGCACAACATTCTTCGGCATATGGACATTCAAAACTTCTTCAAGACAGCGATCACAAGTAAGAAAATGATGGAAACGGCGAGGGATTGCCGGGACAAATACTGGCATGTCGAGGTTCGCAGTTACCCATATGGTGGCGCAACCGTCTCCCCTGGTCTTTTCGCCGACGGACCAGATGTCTACTTCGGTCCTATTACAAGCGAGAAAAACATGGAAGACTTCAAGACAATTTTCCATAATTCGACCGTACACCATCTTCACCTTATGGCCGAGCTTCCCGTTGATATAGACATCCGTTGCGATGACTTGGAACTGGAGTTCAAGTACACCGACTTGCTCTCAATTCTGAAGCGTCACAAGCCACCCGGGAAGTATGTCACGAGTTCCATAAGCGGCAAAATCCCCGCCGACCCGGAATTACTGGGATGGATGAATGAATCGGCCGATGAGCTAAAACTAAGCCTCAGCGCTCCGTTGCCACAATATACGCAGCTTCGCGTACCTCGAATTCGGCTGTGCGTAAGGGAACTATCGGACTCGATCTTTGAAGACTACGTACGAGTAGTGATCGAAGAGTGGAAGAGGGGCGACCGTGAAATCTATGCTCTGACTCTTCGGTCGGGTCGAACCGCGCCGGTGCTTTCCGCGCCCGCATTTTTTGCGGCGTACCCGATGCTTGAAGGCCGCCAATTTACATATTACCGAATATGCCGCCAAGACGGGGAGATTCTGATCGTCCGGTTGGCTATTTACACCAACTACGCTTATCTACACGATGCTAAACACTACCGCATGTGCAAATTCTCGGACGATAAAAGGCTTGCCAATTTCCTGTATAATAGCGGATAATTGTTATTAATGTTGTAGATAAATGTTCTCATTAAATGCCGTCTAATTCTGAAAGAACACAAAAATTCAAAAGGATGACAAACATAACCATCTTTTTTGGTGTGAAAGTCACGATTCTTTTTTGAATAAGAGGGGAG